GGGGGAAAAAAGGAAAATAATGAGGAAAAAAATGGAGAAAATGGGGGGAAAATGGGGAAAAATTGGGGGAAAATAAGGGGGGAAATGGGGAAGAAATTGGTGAAAAAATGGTGCAAAATTGGTGAAAATGGGGAAAAAAATGGAAAAAAAGGGTAAAAAATAGGAAAAAAGTGGGGGAAAAAGGGGGAAAAAACGGTTTGATGACGTCACAGCGCCCCTAATTAATCTTTTTTCATTTTTTTTCCCGATTTCTCCGTTTCTCACCCCAAAACCTCAGCCCCGCCCATCGCCGTCTTCGCCCTGCCCCCCTCCCCCTCGGATCTCTACATTTCCCAGAATCCTCGGCTGCGCTGCTTAGTCAGCAATTTGGGCAGCGACGACGGGCTGTCAATCACCTGGGAGAGGGCGGGGGGAGGGGGCGGGGCCTCGCTGGAGCCCCTCCCACTGAGGCTGACCAATCAGATGAACGGGACGATGACGGCGTTGAGCGAACTTCCGGTGACGGCGGCCGAGTGGGAGAGAGGGACGGTGTTCACCTGCAGGGTGCGGCACGCCGAGCTGGTGGCACCGATAGACAGGACAGTTGGGAGAAAAAAAGGTAATTTTGGGAAAATTTAAAAAAAAAATGAAGAAAATTGGAAAAAAAATGACGAAAATACAAAAAAAAATGGTGGAAATCCGATGAAAAATGGCCGAGAAATGGCGAAAATCCCCCAAAAAAAATCTCATCAAAAATTGGGAAAGAAATTGGAAAAAATCACCCCAAAAATTGTGAAAAAATCATTGAAAAAAAATCCCGAAAAAATTGCAAAAAAATTCGTGAAAAAGTTCACCCGAAATCACTGCGAAAATCGCAAAAAAATCACTGAAAAAATGACCAAAAATCCCCTAAAAAATCGCCAAAAAAAATCCTCCAAAAATCACCCAAAAAATCGTGAAAATGTCACCAAAAAAATCCCTAAAAAATTGCAAAAAATTCCCAAAAAATCACCCAAAATCTCCCTCCCACCATTTTCCCATTTTTTCCCATTTTTCCCAAAATTTCCCAATTTTTCCGCCATTTTTCCTCCAATTTTCGCCGTTTCTTCACCGATTTCCTTCATTTTTGGCAAATTTTCTTCATTTTTTCCTCATTTTTCACCCAATTTTCTCCGTTCTTTCACCAAAATCCTCCGTTCTTTCCCCATTTTTCTTTCCACTTTTTACCTTTCGCTTTCCTCATTTCTCCTCCATTTTTCCCCATTTTTTCCTCGTTTCTCCTCCATTTTTCGCCGTTTCTCCGCCATTTCTTCACCAATTTTCCTCATTTTTCACCAAATTTTCTTCATTTTTTCCTCATTTTTCACCCAATTTTCTCCGTTCTTTCACCAAAATCCTCCGCTTTTTCCCCATTTTTCTTTCCACTTTTTACCTTTCGCTTCCCTCGTTTTTCCTCCATTTTTCCCCATTTTTCCTCATTTTTTCCGCCATTTTGCGCCATTCTCCGCCATTTCTTCACCGATTTTCGCCATTTTTTCACCAATTTTCTTCATTTTTTCCTCATTTTTCACCCAATTTTCTCCGTTCTTTCACCAAAATCCTCCGGTTTTCCCCCATTTCTCTTTCCACTTTTTACCTTTCGCTTCCCTCATTTCTCCTCCATTTTTCCCCATTTTTCCTCATTTCTCCTCCATTTTTCGCCGTTTCTCCACCATTTCTTCACCAATTTTCCTCATTTTTCACCAATTTTCTTCATTTTTTCCTCATTTTTCACCCAATTTTCTCCGTTCTTTCACCAAAATCCTCCTTTTTTTCCCCATTTTTGTTTCCACTTTTTACCTTTCGCTTCCCTCATTTCTGCTCCAATTTTTGTCGTTTTTGCGTCGTTTTTTGCCGTTTCTCCGCCATTTTTTCACCGATTTTCGCC